TCTCAACTTTTTTTCAGTAGTGTTTAAATCTCAGTAATCCTCTTTCAGCCTTACAAGGAATGGTTGATACGTATTCCTGTTGTTATATACATCGCTTAACTTTTCATTATGGCTATTTATCGCCTGTTGCATATATTAATAGAAGTTTAGGAAAACTGTTTTTCTGATGATCAAGAAATAAACATTTGTTTCAGTCTTCTTTTTAACAAGAGATAAGAAGAGGACCAACTTGTAACATGTATGACGTTAAAAGGATCAAATGATATAACCTGCTAGAAAATGTCAAAGAGTGCCATTTCCTGGTGCTAACAGTCTTGTCAGTTGTCTCTATCAAAATTTTACTATTTGGTTTTTAATTAGAATTGGAGTCAAAATTGACTATTTGACTAGAATGGATTATTTTGTAAAAGAGGGAGAGGATTGGCCAAACAGATCCTAATTTCTGTATATCAAGCTGAAACAATGGGGTCTTTCGGTTTGTATTTCTCGTTTAGTGGTGCAATTTGGGCAGGCCCAATTTAATTTGAGTTCAAACTGATCTAGTTCGTAATTTTTTATGGGCTAGGCTTGGATTTTTTGTTTTAGAGCTGGGCCTGTGCCCAAAGCTTTAGATTTTTTATTTTTTGGGGGTAGGCTTGGGGTTGGGGTTAATCCTTAGATAGCCGAACTTTATTCATTTATATATATATATATATATATGTGCATGTATAATACATGCATACATATATACGTACACATACATGCATGCATTTACACATACTTGTAAATCAATTTTTGGTCTAAGCTGCCTAACCAACCCAAACCCAACCCAAATGCATCAATTTTTAATGTAAGGCTGGTCTAAGGTTGGATAGTTTGGGCTTGCCCTCAGGCTCAGGGCTTGGGTTGAGCTAAAATCCAGCCCAGTCCATTCGACTTGCACCCCTAATCTCACCATTTTAGGGGTGTTTTTCCAATATGACTTTTTTTTTTTTTTTTGTCAGTTCCTAAAAAAAAAAGCAGTTGGTTTGAAAACAAACCGATTGTTAAAAGGAAAAACACAAAAAAACATGTACATGCGTGCTTTCTTAAGCCTAAAACCAAAAATATGCTCTTAAGAGGGTGTTTGACAACATGGTTTCAATTGCCATATAAGCGAACTGGTATAAAGATCATTATCATCTAATTATTTAATATCATGCTCCATAAATCATATAATTTCTATCATTTCTATACTATAAAACTTATTTTTATTTTAAAAACCATTACTCTGATGGTTCCTGATGAATCAATTTTTGTTGATGTATCGATTTTTTGGCTAAGTACCTCGTCATTTGGTCTGCTTCCAAGTGGCCGATGACTCAGGCCAAAGTGAACTTTGGCTGCCAAGCTGAGTCGAGTTGGGCAAGCTATGTGGCGAGCTGACTATAGTGTCGAGCTGCCTACGAGGTGCCGAGTTGACCAGGTGGCAAACTGCTTGTGAGGTGTCGGGTTGACCAGGTGGCGAGCAGCCTGTGAGGTGTCGGGCTATCTGTGAGGTGCTGGGTTGGCCAGGTGGCGAGCTGCCTATGAGGTGCCAAGTTGACCAGGTGGCGAGCGGCCTGTGAGGTGTCGGGATGCCTGTGAGGTGTTGGGCTGACTAGGTGGCGAGCTGCCTAGTGGCGAGTTGAATTGGTGAGCTTCATTGCTCTTTAGAGACCTGCAAGGAACCAAATGTCAAAGGACCCGGGGTGGCTAACCCAGCGAGATCGCTCTGATGCTTAAGTCAGTACTCTCATAGTAGAATGTGAGCTAAAAATCACAATGTCTGAGAGAGAGAATTTGCTTACTTGCTTGCCCCCCCCATTGTCATTGGGGTTGGTGCCTTTATATAGGCCTTGCTCACGTATTGCCCCCCGGGATCTCCGAGAGGTCATGTCTAACTGGTTTGAGATCCTCGGAGGTAACTGCCATGCACGTTGACCATCTTCTGGAACGAGGGCCAACCTCCAAGGATCGTGGGGAATGCATGCCGAATTTGTCGGCGAGCACGTCTTGCAGGTTGCCAGGTCGACGCATGTGCCAGGCTGCCAGGTTGGACACCATCAACTTGGCAAGTTGTTGCCTAAGTGATTCCGGGTGTCACCTAGTTGTTTTGAGGTGCCATGTGTCACAATATCATTGGAGGGCCAAATCCGCCCTCATCAATTCCAAAGACATGTATTATTTACAACTTGCTTTTGATCTTTTTTTTTTTTCTGATGTGATCACTTCAAATACAAATGAAAGCAAAAACATTAATGTTGGAAAATATCCCTCAAGCAATTTGGTGCCATTTTGGTCTCCAAACTTTAAAATGTGACAATTTTGTACCTGAACTTTCAAAACATGATAATCTAGTACCTATTGTTAATTAGTTGTTAATAAGCCATTAAGTGACATTTTGAAAATGACACAAGTGCCCTTCGAGTGTCATCTAATTTTCTTTATCAACCATCCAAACATTGACAAAAAAATTAACAACCTCAAATCCTTGCCTCTTCTATTCAATAAAGTTGGGGTCACTAGAATGTCCACTCAAACATGACTCCAACTTTCTTGAATGTTGGAAAAGACAAGGATTTTGGAATGTTTTTTTTTTCAACGTTTAGATGGTTGATAAAGAAAATTAAATAACACTTGAAGGGCAATTGTGTCTTTTTTAAATACCACTTAACGGTTGGTTAACAGCTAGTTAACGACAAATACTGGATTGTCATATTTTGAAAGTTTGGGTATTGAATTGTTGCATTTTAAAGCTTGGGGACCAAAGTGACACTAGGCCCAAAGTACAAGGTACTAATCGGGATTTTCCCAAACATTTATAAATGCATGGGCAGTGAACATGAAATTGAGACTTTGGAATAAAGAAAATTACTGCCTTAAATTTGAATTTTGGGAACTTTTCTCTGTTTTGATTTTTTTTTTTTTTTTTAACTTTGAAAACCAGTTTGACTGGTTGAACCACATCAAACTGGAATCAGACCTCGATCCAGTTCAAAGAAAAGTGTCTGGGTTCAGGCGGTTCTGACTTGTGATGCTGATGCAGATACTGAATTACCTGCTAAAATGGGGAAAACTAGGGACCAGTTACCTTTCCGACCGGTTCAATTCCTGGACTGATTTTTAAAACATTGTCTGTAACCTACAATTCTCGACCGATGTCAATTGATGAGTAGGGGTGTCAATTGGACCGCATTTGGTCCAATTTGATCAACGTCCAATCCAATTCGATGAATACTTCGGACCATTTGAATCAACCCAATTCAATGTTTGGACTGACTGATATGTTCAAATTATTTTTAATTTAAATTGGTTCCAACATAACCCCGGTCCATTGACACCTGTATTCTTGTATACTTTCAATGTATAAGATATTGGTTCAATCTAACCCAATCCAATATAAATCTTTCACGGATGACCAAGTCTAATCCAATATAATAAATATTTTGGACCATTAAGCCTAGATTGGTCCAACTCAATATGTTTTATTGGCCTGTCGAACCTGTCTGATTTTAATTCGGAGAGATCATCCAACCAAAACGGCCTATTGACACCCCTATTGGTGAATTACCTTTCTTTTATGCATTTACCGAATCACCTTATATTTTTTACACTGAACCCATTTGACCTTGAAAAAAGACACTCAAGCTGATTCATTCAATCACAGACCAAATTAAGTAAACGAGTAAAAGACCAAAGTTATGTAAGAAGGTTGTAGAACCAATGATGAGACTATACACCAGTTTTAAAATACATGAGCCCTATAATCATTCAACGTCTGTGGGCTTCACATTATACTTGTTACTTAGGAGTATGTTCAAACATTGACCGAAGTTTCCCTTAACTTAGTCCACAAGTTTGAGTATGTTCAAACATTGACCCAAGTTTCCCTTAACTCAGTTCACAAGTTTTAGGCCCGAGAGTGCTTTGGGCCTAGTGGGGTTCTGCTACTCACACGGACCTCACAATATGTTTATGGCTGCACATTAAGATTTAGGAGAGTTYACATTTGCGCCCTATAAGGAGGCACCCCACAACACATTCCCATTATGTATTGGAAACATCTCGATGATAGTACCATGATGAGGGCGGATTTGGTTCTCCAATGATATTGTGACACATGGCACATCGGAACAAATAGGTGACACTCGAAATCACTTTGGCAATAATTTGCCTTAGCCAAGTTGATGGTGTCCCACCTAGTGGCCCAGACGTGACCTGACGGCCTGGCCCTGGTGCAAGCTGGCAGCCTAGCACAGGCACGACCTGGTGGCCTGGCACAGGCACCGACCTGGCAACCTGGCCCAGGCGTGACCTGGCGACCTAGCACATGCACCGACCTGGTGATTTGCAAGACGTGCTCGCCGACGAATTCGACATGCATATCCAAACACTCCCACGATCCTTGGAAGTTGGCCCACGTGCCGAATGATCTAGAGGGTGGTCAACGTGCATGGCGGTTACCTCCAGGAATCTCGGACCAGTTAGACACGACCTCCTGGAGAGCTCGGGGGCAGTACATGAGCGAGGCCTATATAAAGGCACCAACACCAATGACAAGAAGCGGGCAAGTAAGCAAGTTCTAGCTCTCAGACTTTGTGATTTTTAGCTCGCAGTCTACTATGAGAGTACTGATTTAAGCATCAGAGTGACCTCGCTAGGTTAGCCACCCCGGGTCCTCTGACATTTGGTTCCTTGTAGGTCTCTAAAGAATAACGAAGCTCATCAATTCAGCTAGCCACTAAGCAGCTTCCCACCTGGTCAGCCCAGCACCTCATAGGCAGCTCGGCACCTAGGTAGCTCCACTTCGGCATCTGAGTCATCGGCCACTTGGAAGCAGACCAAATGGCGAGATACTTAGCCAAAAAATCGATACGTGACCAAAAATTGATTCATCATACCAGGATCGATTTAGGAACATATATCCCTTACTAACATGTTATGTGGCTTTAAGGTCTATGTGAGGGGAGAATATCCCAATTCCTCCGGGCCGGGCCAAGGTGAAGCCTCCTATCCCAGGTGCTAAGCCAGCCCCGGCCCGGGCCATGATGAAGTTGTAGGCTTGTATAACGTAAACGGCGACAATCGATGGTTTTATAAACCACAGAGGTCAGAGGACTTGATTAGTGATTCGTTTCGGTTGAAGTATCTTTAGTAGGCGTACTGCGTTTTGAAGCTTTCAAATCTCCCTCTCCTGCAGCCATCATGCTCTCTGGAGACATTCCTCCGAACCAAACCATTTACATCAAGAACCTCAATGAGAAAGTCAAGAAAGAAGGTAAGGTTTAGAAAACCCTCTTTCTACTTGCTTCTTCTTACGGGAGATATTATGTTCAGAATTAGGTTTTACAGGGGGACCTTTCAGATATGAATTTCTATCTGGGCGCTCTTACACTACATGCAGCTTCATAAATGGCTTTTGTTCTACACTTCTACTCGCATTTGGTCTCGGTTTCTTAGAGACATATTTCTCTTCGTGTGCGCTGCACAGTTTTATAACATGACTTTTTGTTTTTACCCAATTTCGTATCAGTTTCTTAGATTTACTCAAAGAAGCTCCTTTAACTTCCTATTGGTTCTCTCTCATATTCTTTTCATATTTCGTGCGTTTGTTTTTAGTTATGAATGAAATATGGATGATTCGAGGCAGCAAAACAATCTGGTTGGGACAGACAACATAACATTTATTTTTTCGAACTTCGTAAAAGATTTAAGCGATTTATTGAACGGTTTATACTTGATATCGCTATTAAAAACTTGCAACATCCTTTAGTGACGTGCTAATTATGCATTTACTTTCACATTTGATTTATTTAAGTTTGGCTAGTACGTTTCTGGAACAGGAGTAGTAAGTCCTTGAGAGATCAATTGAATTATTGAAACTATTAGTAACTTATCCACGAAAATAGCTCCTTTTGTTAAAGATTTTGAGTTTAACTTCTTTTTTAAAGCTTAAAAGCTCGCTCTGCATGATAAACCTGTAAGTGGATTATTATTTTAGTGGGTATTTTCACACACTCTAGGTTTTCTAGATGAATTTCTTGGTTGCTTTTGATTGCTCATTTAGTGTCTAGGTTCTGAATCATTCGTGCTGGATTTCAAGTATGTTACAGAGCAAAATGGTTAAAAAGACTAGACCTCAGATGCGTTTGGGATCTTGAGAGTGCAATGTTTTAAATTCGCCCTATTGTTTCAAATTATGTCGGCTTTCTTGGATATAGGCATAGAAGGGAGATTTTGAAGCCCTCTTAAAAAGACTAAATTGTATCCAACTAGATCCAGAATGACTTTTATACAAGTGTTGATGAGTACTTTTTTTGAAAAAGATACAACACGACTTTGTGTTTGGGGTATTCAGGCTTGTTACTCCAAACTTGATGATGGGCTTCCCTTTGTTTATTTTTGGAACCAAGAGATTTCTTTTTACGTTTTTTTTTTTTTTTGGGATTGGAAACAAGGACAGAATGATGTGGTGCACAAAGTAACTAATACTCATAACCATGTCATTTACTTGAATGTCAATCCTAAGCAGAAGGAAGATTTTCTTAAATTCATCACTTGTGTCGCTTGTTTGCCTTTATTTTGACATTATTAGAAAGGTCTTGAATTGCTTATCCAAGCAAATTATAAAATATGAAATATGCATGGTACTGACAGAAGTTGCTATTTTGGGGTTATTTGCCTTTTTTCAGATTAATCCTATTATTGTAAACTTTATTTCTTAGGAATTAACCATGGATGCAGTTTACTTTTAGAAATTGGAGTAAAGTTGCAAAAGATAAAAAAGCCTATTTTTATATTTTCTTTTGTTGTTATTATTTGTGTTTATTTAGTTCATCTATAGAGTATAGATATCATATGGAGTATCTAGGTATTTTTACATTAGGGTAATAAATGTATATAACGTCCATTGATTGATATGTAAAAGGTCTCTTCTGTTTTTAGTGTTCATTGTTCACACATTCTGAAAGTGCTGATTCCTTTGGAGTTCTATATTTTAATTCCTAAATCCTATTATATCTGAAATAGTGGTTCAGACTAATCCAGCACTGTAGAAATAGAAATACAATGTTAAGTTAAGAGAAGTAAGAAGAAGGAGAGAAAGAGAAGTCAGTTAGTGCAAAAGAAGTCAACTGTCTAGCCCAGCTGATCCATATTTATTCAATTTTAAAAGTATATACAAAGGCTATAGTGCCCCTATTTAAGTATGGGAGACACCACTTAAAATAGGATAGAAAAGACGATACACATCATAAAATAAGAAAGGTAAATGACTGAAACATCCTCCATAAGTCAGCTATAACAATATCCTTTAGGTTTAGGGGTTAACTAAGAAGCATAGGCTATCTATATTCTATCATTTTTTTTTTAAATTTTATTTTGCTCCTGATACCTTGGATTACTATCATTGTTCATCCTTTTCCTTTTACGTGCATTATAATCTCTTTGTTTTAAGTGATTCGTAAACCTTAAAAGGATCTAAAGATGCATGGTGAAGAGGTTTTAATTCAAGGGCTGGAAGCCTGGAACATTAACAGCAACAGAATAGATAAATAAATATAGAAAATAGGGATTTTGGCTAGAGCTATTCTGGTATTTTAGGAAAGTGTGAAAGGCCATTACCCAATATTGGTATGGGGTCTTGGGAAGGGTGGACTAGATATGGACATGACCTTTGGCATTTTTTGCACAAAGTGGCTTCTCTCAAACTTGAACCCACATTCTTGAACTAGTTAGCTTGAGGTTTTACCATTAAACCAAGCAATGACTCCTTTTAGGAGATTGTATAAATAAAGTTTAATAGAAGTTCCCTTTCTTATCCAGGTTGGCCAGGTCTTACAGGGGGAGTTCTCAAGTCATGATGGAAATATCATTTGGGATTTTAGTGGCCCCATTTGTAGCAGATTGAAAACATCCATGATTTGATTTGCCTAAATATTTCCTAATTTTTCCAATTTTACATGGCATATTTCCATATCCATGGTTTTTTTTTTGATTGGAAACAGTAACTTTCATTAAATTAGAAAAAGGAAACATACAATGTCAACCACTCACAGCATGAGTGTTGACCCCATATTTACCCCAAGATTTATAATACAGCCAAAAGAGATTTTCCCTTTGAGTCCCCTGCTTTGCCAAAGTATCAGCCACACTATTGGCTGACCTCGTCCAAATAAAGATTTCTCCAGCTTCCCTTGCTAAGCAAAAAATCTCCTTGTCCAAATAAAAAATTTCCGTATCCATGGGAATCAACATGAAATATTATTGGAATATGTCTTGATGTATTCTACAGTGTGTTAAAGTCTTTTATATTATTCTTAACAAGTTTTACTTTGCAAGTGGTACTAATTTAGAGTTTCAATTTACATGTACAAGAGATATCATCCAAATAATTTGTTTTAATGTATTTTTTTTTCTCTTGAGTCTGTTATTTTTTTGAGTATATCATTATGGATTACTTTTACCTTCTTATTTTTTGTTCATAAAATATTTTTAGTTATATAATTTAGTAAAATAAGCCAGTGTTTTAATATTTTAAATATTTTCATATTTAAAAAATATTTTTTTTTGTATTAAATAAAGCACAATGAAATAATATCTACAACTAAAATATCAATATGTACTATTATAATAATCTTTTAAACCCTTAAAATTTATCTAAATGGCGGAAGTGGCCATTGTGAAATGGTTTAATCACTCTAAAAGCATTTTAGTACTTTGTAATGATGTGATTATTTAAAAGAGTATGGCCTTTTATAATTGAATGTTATAAAATATTAACAAATGTTTTCGTGGATTAAAATTTCCAATGTTATAAAAGTTTCTACGACAAGTCTACATGACATTTTTTATATTTTCAACATTTTTCTTATTCTTAAGTGGTTGACATTCCAGTAAAACCAGCATTTTAAATTTTGTTAAAGACCCTTTATATATGTTGAGCTTGGGTATGACAGGATGTGGCCCCCTATCCTGATGGTGCTCCAATATATATATATATATATATATTTATGTTTTATATAATGCGCCCTCCCTAAGAAAAAATGAAGAATCCTAGCTCCACTCCTGCCCATTGTAGACACTGATTCAACTAAAGCAGAAGTAATGGCCCCTCCAAGGGTGGGCCTGGTGGCTTGCATCGTTTAGATTAGAGATTGTGAATCCCCTTGTTGCTGGTGGAGGAGCCTAGTTCAATGCCATTTCATGGTCCAAAACTGCTGATAGAGGCCCTTGAAGATTAGTCTACTATCTAAATGAAATATGCAATTTTGCAGTGTCCAAAGTTCTGTTCAGATGGATTCCTAGAGAGGTTGATTCTATTGCAAATAGATTACAAGAATTGGTGTCAGAAGGATCTTTGTTTTGTTATAGTGCACGCTGTTTTAAAAACTGATCTGGAAACAGAACTACTTTTCATCCAGGTGGTGGGTCAGTGGTTCAGCCATCCAGGTCAAATGGTTCAACTATGATGTAATAAATTAAATAATAAAATATAAAAATAGATAAAATTACAGAAAACTTGAGAACATCTGCAGAAAAATTGGGCATGTCTCTAATATTCTATATTCATCATATTAAACACATGGCTAGAAGAAAATGAATTTTGATGGGAGCTGTTTGGGTAACCCAGGCCCCTCAAGTATTGGGGGAGTCATTAGGGATGAAGAGGGGAACATAATTGCTTTATACTCTGGCCCTGTGGAGCAGGGTGATGTGGCAAGATCAGAGTTTTTGGCTGCAGTTTTTGGGGTTGAGAAGGCAAAAGAACTGGGTATTAGTAGGCTGATTATTGAGGGAGATTCTAAAACTGGTTAAGTGGCTGGTTAACGGGGAGGGGGTGGCATGGCACTTGAGAAATGAATTCAGAAAATTCAAATGGCTGTCACAGGACATGTTAATCCGAGTGAAATGGATCAGGAGGACTGCTAATAGCTTGGCAGATAGCTTAGCCAAGCAAGGGGTACATAGAACAATGTTTTGGGCTCAAATGTAGTACTGATTTGGGACAGCTTCTATAGCTGGTTCTTTTCACAACTTCTTGTTGTAATCATGTTTCTCTCATAATTAATGAAATTTTTTATGTGTTGCTTATCAGAAAAAAGAAGACCCCACCTTTGTGGAGAAAAGCAAGTCTTGGTGGCAGGAGGCTTGAAGAAAGGTGTTGGCTTCTTGAGAAGGCTAAAGAGACTAAAAGAGATGTCATAATGCTATTTCACACACCCAATCGTATGTATCCATGCTTTACACATGCCTATGCATCTATACATGTGACCTGCA